ACCCAAAATGCCACTGTAGATCTCATGGGCTCTTTGAGGCCCTCGATGAACTGGTAGTAACGCTCAGCTCTGGACATGTTTGGTAATCTGAAGCTCCATTTCTGGAACTCCCTGACGTACGCCTCTACAGACTTGTACTGACGCAGAGTATGGGGTCTGCGCCTAGCCTGCTCTCCCAGCGTGGCTGACTCAAATGCGCCACGCAGCGCCTCAGTGAACTCTCGCCAACCAGCAAAAGGCGCTCGTGTCCCCTGATAGACCTGCAACTCTACCAGGTTCATCCACGATATGGCAACTCCAGATAAGTTTGTTGACATCACTGATAGCCAGCGCGACTCGTCCACTGCATTGCCACGCAGCCATCTGCACATGGCCAGCACCCATTCTGTGCAGCTTACATCCTGATGGTGGCCAGAAAATCTCTCTGGCATCGGAATCCTCAATCTCCCGAATCCAGTGTTGACAGGGATAGCGGCAGCTCTGTGTCCAACATCCGGCAACCCACCTCCATGTGATGACTCTCTCTCACCCATAGAATCATTGTCTCTGTCATCATCGCCATCTCCAGGTGGGCCACCAGGCGGGCCACCAGGCGGGCCTCCTGAGGGTGACCTTTTGGGTGGTCTCCTTGGTGGTTCGTGACCACCTAATCCTCCAGCTCCACCACCCAGGGATCCATATGATCCCAGCCCGCTGTAGGGATCCTCTGGCACACCTAACCCCTGGAAAGGAGGTTGGCGAGCCGATTGTGTAGGGAATCCAGCTCCAAATGCTCCAGCTCCACTCACTCGTGATGGTACTCCACTTGGACCAGCTGATTGACCACAGGAAGATTGACTAGGCTGTACTGAAGTGCCTGCTGTCTAACTGATACCAAGAGGCAACAATGGTGCTGCAATTCCGCTTGCAATTCCCAAGTTCTCCGGCGGTGCCATAGTGGTTTGCATTGTAGTACTTGGGACAGTAGTTACCATGGTCCCTAAGTACATACTGCTGGGAATTTGCTTGTTCCAAAATGCATCCCAGTCCACATTCTGATTCACCTACCAGTTCACAGGATTCTCACTCCATGACACAGCACCGATGGGCAGAGAAGGAACTCCAAAACTCACACCTTGTGCCGTCTCGCAGCTCCCCGTTATGCCAGGGGTGCGTAATCCCTCGTAAAGCGTAACTTTTTCGTGAACAGGCCCCACGGGGGTGGCATCTCCCTCCGCGGCACCTGCATCCGCCGCGCCCGAGGCCACCGGCAATGGCGACCGACTCCGAACGGTCGAGGGCAGCATAGCCGGCCAAACGACAAGGCTGGACGTTGCCTCGGACATCCTGCAGTCCAGCGCCTCAATGGCGCGCTTGATGCCGCCGAGCTCGCCGGCCATGGAGGCCGTTTCTCGAGCATGGCTCGCAGCCATGCTTTCCACTCGTTCGGAAACCGATTCCTGCGCGTTTTGCTGCGCTTGAACGGTGGCGCCGAGGTCGCTCAACACTCGCGCCGCTTAGCGCAAGCTTTCATTGGCAATCGAAGCCTCCTCGGAGGCCTTTCCCGTAGCATTGGCCAGCGCCTCCAACAGCGCATTAGAGGTGGCCACTCAAGGGTGCCATCCGGTCCGTTAAATCCGGTTCGTTAATTTTTATCAGCTGTCCGTTAAATTTCGTTAAAGAAAAAGGGAGAAAATTTCAGAAAAAACGAAAAAAATCCAAAAAAATCGAAAGAAAACCCAAAAAATCACAACAACTGCGGCTAGTTGAAAATATAGTATGCATAGGTTGAAATAAAATATAAACATACTCTCTAATAGCGAATTCCATAAAGTATAAGTATGAAAAAAACCCAAAAATCCCCCAAAAATCCAAAAATCCGCTAATTTTTGGTTTATTTTTGTCTTTTTTCGTTATTTTCCGTTAATTAATAGAAAATTAACGGAAATTAACCTCTGTCCGCTATTAACGGATCCGGGTGGCCACCTCTACAGCGCATCTTGGCCTCCTTTCTCCGATTCCAATGCCACCAGCCATTCGCATACCTCTGAAACATCCTCCTGAGTCTTTGCGAACCGTCCGCCGTCAATCGCGCCTGCCAGCTGCACCTCATCTGCCAACTTCTGTTTGGCCTCCAAAAAATGCGCCTCCGTTTCCGCGAGCCTCTTCCCCATCTGCTCCATTTTACAGTCCAATTCTTCGCCGATCCAGTCTTGAGCCTTGCGCAACTCTCCTTGCACGGCGGTCTCCATTCTGCCGAGCTCACGGGCTTGCATTTCGGCCCGTTCCCTCACACCTTCCAGCCCGGCGCCGATCATCGAAATGGCCCCTTCTTGCGCGGCCATTCTGCCATGCACACCTTCCTGCAAGGCGCGCAGCTCGCGGCCTTGCTGCAGCTGCTGCGCATTCGATTGATTCGCGGCAGCCTCAAGCTGCCGGCTGAGCATTTCCCCCATGCCACGGAGAGCGGCATTCTGCTGCTGTCCGGGCGAATTGCTCCATTCTGCGACCGCAAAAAGGGTCGCTCTCCTCGCAGCAGCCGTGGCCACAGCCCCCATGTGCCGCAGCAATAGCTGCTCCAGCCAATCCTCACTTTCTCCGTGCTGCGCGACCGTCACTCCTCCGCCATTTCCATTCAGTTCCATGGGGGTCGGCCCCCCTCGATAGGGCACCAATTGCCCGGCCGATTGGTCCCCCGGATTCCCAGTCTCCTGGCGAGGATCCCCACTCGCCATTCCGGCCGTCGGCCGGTGTGTTCTCGCCGCTCGAGCGCTCTGCGCTCTGAAACCAATGATGCGGGAGCTTCGAAGCTCCCTCGGGCGCACGGTCGGATGAAACAGGGAGTCAACCGGACCCCCGGGGCATGACATTAAAAAGCTTTGATTGTACATCATTTCAATTGTCTATTAGATTGTCCTTTACACCTGAGTGTTCCATAACTCAACCCTTAGGTTGCTATTAATTAAATGTTCCCATTTACTACATCTCCTAAGCAACCGTATCACTACTTCTTGCCAAGGTAAGGACGGCCTCAGTTGTGGTGATCTATCTGCGACTTTTGACAGGCCGCACAACCACTGGGAAACATGTTTGCTGGTGCACAGGATGAGAACAGCATGCCCTCCACCCCTCCCTTTGTCCAGTTGCACCGGCAAGGGCCCCCGGCCCAAACTTTCCGGCGCAAATTAACCCAACATGCAACCACTGCCACCCTCGGCGGCTGGCCCAACCCGGTGGGCTCAAATTCAGTGGCAAGCATGTGCTTGCTGCCTGGACAAGGCATTCGCCGCCCCCCTGGGCGTCTTGGGAGCGCCGCCGATGCACACCCACCCCGCCTGGCCCCTCGATGCCGTTGGGCAAGGCGCCTGAGACTGCGCCATCTTGGGACCGGGTCACGCTAGCTCCATCGTGGGGACTGGCTGCCAGGCCAGCACGGCGAAGGGTGGTGTGGGGGTGGGGTGTGGGTTGTGTGGGTAGGGTCAGGCGGGGGGGGATCTCAACAAGGGGGGACAGATGCGCAGCGGGCTGACAGGACGGCGCCCCCAACCAGTGGATTTGCGACAGAAGGGGCAATCAGGTCCACCAGATACACCGGACGCAACCCGGCGGGGCCGAGCAACCTCTGCCCCAGGGCCCGATACTTTTGGGATCCAACTCCAACGATAATATTCCCTATTTTTATGGATTTACTTATTGGGGAAATGACAAATGCGCGGCCCTTTGAGTGAGAGTGAGACCATCGGCACCGACTTGCGGAGTCATTCCGGTTTCCAAGCAATGGCGCGATCAACCAAAGTGCAACACCTTATCCCGAAGAGCACACAGCCAGAGGCTAGTGGGGGAGGGGAGGGACACCGGAGTTCAAACATCTCCCAGGGGATACGGGAGAGATGAACTAACACACCTCCCCTTGAGACCTGTAGCCGGCAGTAGCCCACAGTACGTTACGCCCCCCGCAAATCCCTCACAAATATGACACCCCCGAAAAGTGTCTCCTTATTCCCCCCTTATCGACCCTGGATCGAACCACCTGAAGATTGAATATTCGGCCGGCAGGGCCGCCCACGCGACAGAAACCATCGCACGTCACGCCACACCCCAACGCCTTTTCCCCCTCCCCACTTACTCTCGACTTCCAAAGTGTCCTCTTGGCGTCCCGTCGCCCCGCCGCAGAGCCCTCCGCTTCCCCCTGACCGCGCCGACCGCCACCGGCAGCGCCACCCCCATCTGCCGGATCGCCGCCCGCCGCCAGGACTTATGTCGGGCAGGATCGCCGCCCAGCGCTGCCGACACTCCACCCTGCCCGGCCTGGCGACCCCGCAGCCCCACGAGAGCCCGCGCCCCGCCCAGAGCTCCGCGTACCGGATAGGAGGAGTAGGCTGCAGCTGGTGTGGAGAGGGCCAGTGCAGGCTGGGGAGGAGGTTTTAGGGGTGCCAATCGCGGAGGAACGCACGGATGAAGTACCTGGACATTCCTAACCTTATCAGGTGGGGCGGCATGCCAGCCTTGGCCGCTAGCACCCCGGGCGCCTTGGCTGTTGGGTGGGGAGCCCCTGCACCGCGCCTTGCGCGCGCCTTTGCGGCCTTTTGGCGGGTTGCCCTACTCAAGGCGCGCATGCGCTGGGCGTCGTCGCGCGGAGCGCGCTGCCGGGCTTTCACGGGGGTCTGAATGATGCGTCCAACGGCCGGGCGAGCCACGGCGCCGCTGCAGCATGTCGCCCCGCGTCGGTGCCGTTGGTGGGAAGCGGCTCGCCGGTTCGGAGGGCGCGGCGCTTGACACCGCGGAGGGACGATGCTGGGGTTGTTACGAGGGGCTGACGTTCGCTTGTGCCCGCCAGGCTCAGCAGCTTCCTGGACACGGTGGACGTGGGCGACTATGTCGTGTGCGGGAGCCTGGAGGCCTATTCCTGTGAGCGGCAGCGGGGGCCAAGGGCCCGATTGAGCCGCCCCATTGGAGCCCATTTTGCACATCTCGGTGCGGGGTGTGGCATGCTGAGCCGCGGCCGCTTGTGTGTTGCCCAGGCAAGCTCGCCGGCTTCGACAAAAAGCTGTCGCGCAGCCTGGACGAGGATTTGCAGATGGAGAGCCCGCCGTCCATCCTGGCGGAGTCACCCGTGGGGCCGTTGGGGGAGAGCGCCAGGTTGGGCGTCGGCGCGAAATCCTGGGCGAAATTGTCCGCCGGGCCGCTGCGTTACCGTGAACCCCATCGCGAGTGGCGGAATACACGGGCGCCCGCGACCGCGGCGAACACAGCGCGTTCGCTCGTTGCTCGCCGCCCCTCCCGATTGGTTTGCTTGCCCGTTTGGATGCCATCGGCAGGTGTGGTTGACGCCCTCGCCGCAGACTTCGGCGGGTTTAGTCACCGCGTGCCTGGCCTCCGCTGCCAATCACCACAGGGCCCGCCGGCCTGGCCAACTGCCCTGTTACCCAAAACAAGCCCTGGAACGCGGCAGGTCCCAGGGCCTTAACATACCCCGGGCACATGGTTCTGTCTCTTTGGGATGTTTGTGTGGCGTCACTCCGCATTGCGGACCCTTGTGCCCTGCACAGCGGGCATCGCGCAGTCTGTTCTGCCCCGGGCGTTCGCCACGGTGCTGACTTTGGCGTTGGCTGTGTCGCGATGCAGTCGCAAGACGCTCATCTACCTGATACTCACGCTCAACCACGCATTCCCGGATTACGACTTCAGCCAACTGCGGGCACACCACTTCAAGAGGGAGTCGGACCTCGGCCCCCTGGAGGAGACGATCGAGCGACACCTCTCGGAAATCACAAAGGTCAGTGTTCTCGAATGCACATATTGCAGTCGAAAAGGAGTCCAAAAGGGCTTTCAGTTCTGCAGCTGTACACATCGCATGAAGCCTGGATCCTACAGGCTGCATCATTGCAACACTTCTTTCCACACCCAACTGACACCTCACGGGAACTGCTGCAAATGTTTAGCACTTTGTTTTTGCACCTTTGTTGTGTGCCACCGTGGACACACAGGTGTGCTTGTGGTGATATTGAACATCTTTCCTGTTGTGCGGCAGGTCTGGGAGAGCACCCCTGATGTGGGGGAGCTGTCCTTCGTGGAGAGCATCAGAAAGGCGATTGATGAGGTGTGTTGCCCTTGCATCCTGTGGTGCTTTGTTGGGCATGCATGCATTTGGGGGCACAAATGCATAGTGTTGGCGATTGCCAGTTGCAAAAACATTGACAAATGCATCCAATGGATGTGGATGTGAATTTCATGGGTTTGGTGCAAAAGCGCAACGCTTACATTTGCAAGCGATGAAAATATGTGCTCAGATATCCATGCGATGACTGATGTGGAAGTCTGCTGATGCCTGTGTCTGCTTTGTGCACCCTTCAAGCCTTCATTTGTGGCCTCGATGAATGCATTTCGTGTTCTCACTGTGTTGTTCATCACAGGGGTGTATGTTGCAAAAGCAAATGATCGAATCAGAACAATGCACAAAAAGGGCCTTGCCTTCATGCAACACAACACTGTGAATCAAAATTTGCCCTGGTATGACAAAACTGGATGGCATCAGTGGGTGTGTGCATGTGACCAGTCTGTCGAGTTGAAGAGCTGTGAAGTGTACCGATACAGACCAGACGTGGACACAGACCTTTTTGGTGAGTTTTAAGTGTCAAGAATGAACTACAGTCGTCCACCCCCAGTGCATGACCATTGTGCCCCTAGCCGTTCCACCCTGGTGCAATTCCTTTTGTCTGAATGGGCACAATACTGCCCAGCTGCGGAGCAGCAGTTGTACGCTAGCAGCAGTGGCAGATGCTGTGCTCACATCATTGTAGTTGGACTGCAAGGATCCGTCAGTTCATCTTACTGCATTTTGGCAACGGGAGTATGAGCAGGAACAGCCTCATGCACCCTGAGGCAACTAGTCCCTCGTATAGCCCTGACAGCCTTTGACGTTGCTCAGCAGGGACGCCATGTGCTTGTTTTTTGAAGTTGATGGTCAATGTGGTGGCTGCTGCCAAGTCTGTTTTTGCCATCCATTTTGCGCATTGCGCTCTGGATTTTGTGTCAATATGTGGTGGTTGCCCTGCCTTTGATTTTCTCAAAACATCTGTGGAGACACCATGCATTTGGGACTCTAGAACAACCAGTTGAGGGCTGTACTTGCATTCCTGTTGACAGACGATGAGGGTGTGCTGTGGAGCTTCACGTACTTCTTCTACAACAGGAAGTTGAAGCGCATCTTAATGCTCAGCTGTCGGGGCGTCAGCAAGAATGCAAGGGTGAGCAGGTGGCTGTGCAGTTGTCGTTGCTTGGTGCTATTCTGTGTCAGTTGATGAGTCATGTCAGGCGAGTTGCACAATGCTGTATATAATGTGCCATAATCCCAACCTGTTGGCACCGTTTGTGGGATGCATGAACACTCCAACTATCACTCCTTATGGCAGCATTGTTCTGGCGCTTGTAACAAGGGCCCCATTGTGCAAAACTGCGATCAAAGCAGGACTTCCATAACACTGCAGTGTGTGCAGTCTGGTGAAACTTGACACTGTCGATGTCATACGCTGCCTATGCACAACTGGTGTCTCCCTTACAATGGTGGTGTCGAGCACTGCTGTTCAGGCCTGCCTCGCAGACATGAATACCATCTCCATGCCCTTAGCTGCTCTTTTCACTGGCTGCATGTGTTCGATCGCAGAGAAAGTCAACGACCCTGCACTCGGACTCTTCCGAGACAGAAAGCGAGGTTGACTATGGCATGGCGAGTGAGATGGACGTCTGATGAGCAGGCAGGCAGATCTGCTCCGTGCCTGCTCTGCACTGCTGTGGGGCACCGACTGTATGCTGTACACGTTCTGCACGTTGGTGTTCAACTAAGGAAGGATAAAGCACTGGTTGATGGCCTCCACACTGTACCGGTATTGGTACTGTACTGCACTATATTAGCACATGCACCTGGAGGGACAGGGGGAATAGGCAGGACTGCAGGGGGGCCCGCACCAAATGATGGTGCCAAGGCGGCGCTTTGCCGCATTTTGATTTGGGGTTTCTTTCCGCACTCTTGAATCTGCGTGTGGTGGTGGCTGTGGCTTGCAATGGAAGGGGTAATCGCATTGGTGAGCAGGTGCATGGGGGCCCAGGGCAAGCATGGGAGGGAGCTGGGTTTGGCAGGCTTGCGATTCCAAAGGAAGGTCATTTTGGGGCTGGCTTGTACTCGTCTGGCACGCTGTAGCTACTCTCTCCCGTGGTCTCGTTCCAGAAATAGCGAACCGGCTGCCCCGTGGGCGGGTACGTCGAGTAGCACTCTTTCCATTCCCCGGCCGCCTGTTTGCTGGACGCGCTGCTCCTCAGGCGCTGGCCAAAGGTGTAGGTGCCCAGCTGCGCAAGGGCGCCCTTGAGGCCCAGCACCCTCAGCAGCATGTTGCCTTCGCTGTCGGGCACCCGCGACAGGAGCTTCATCTTCTCCAACTTTTCGCAGGCGTCCACCACGTCGCTGGAGCGCACACACAAACACGGCTCAAGTGCCACCATGGCGACGCCGGCGACAACGTAGGGGCGTTGTCATGAACCGCAGCGATCTGTTTGATTGTACCAACAGAAACCAGTGTCCTTAGAGGTTCAACATGGCGCGCCCAAAGTTAGCGTAATCGTGGCTGTTCAGGTTGAGGTGCCGTTGTGTGCGACGACGGGGTGCTTCACAGATAAGAAACTGCTGCGAGGACAGTCATTGTGGGACCAGGCGAGTTTTGTACCAGAGCAGTTCTGAATGAAACCACATGGTAACGCGTGGTGGTGCAGCCGGGGCACAGTGGGTGTAGAAGGAAGGACGTGCTCCCCGGCCATGAGCTTGCAGCCCACATTGTTTGCACATTCCTGAAACTCCCACCGATTGTCCAATCTCGGCGACAGCCCTGCGTTGACTTCAGCAGCCGCTTGGCAGGCAGGGATGTGTAGAAGGATGGTGGCAGCAACTCAGCAACGCCTGGCTGACAACTTGCGAGGACCTGGTGCCGCTGCAATGTAGGATCCGAGGGCAAGGGGACTCGCTGCAGGTGTTCAGCAATGTGCTGCAGGCGTCAGTCAAACGCCTCTGGCACAGGCGCTGTTTACCTATGTGGCCTGCTCATCATTTCAGCCTGCCCCCAGCCCGCAACAGCTTTGTTGGGTGAGCTTGCTGTGGCTCATTTGCCCAGCGGTTCCCAACGCTTGAAGGGTTATGTGCATGAGAGCCAACCATCATGGACAGTGAGGGTCAGCTAACACCATTTGAGCATTGAGAGCGGTGCATACAGGGCAAACGAGCCAGACATTCCATTCTACCGTTGGTTTTTAAATGCTTCCGCATCAGAAGATTTTACCATTAAGCTTTTTGCTCTGCATCTGTTTTTGAGAGCGTTATTTTTATGTTGCTCCACACAAATTTTACTGAAAGAGCGTTTTTTATTCATTGTTTCCATGCAGGAACGGCCAAACGTTGTGGCACTAAGCGGAGCGGCTTCAAACCAACGGCAGACACCCCACAAGGGGCACCGAACGTGTGACGCGCGGGTGTCCACCTACAAGTTGATCCTCGACTTCAGATTGCTCTCCTTCATGAACCTGTTGAGAAACCTCTCGATCTGCTTGTCCAGCGCCGCCTGCGACATGGGCGGCGGGTCGTCCACCCCCCGCCACAAAAAGTAGTACGCAAGCAGCGCTTCGTTGTCCTCCTGGTCGCTGGCCTCGTCCAGCAGCGTGGACAGGACGCCCGCATTGTTAGCAAGGTTGTGCATCAGCAGCAGCTTGGTCAGGTGGGCGTGGTAGGTGTCCTCCTTTGCCTTGAAGGCCTGGTAGGCCTTCACGCCCCAGCTCAGGGGCACGATGATGAGCACGACGGACGTGATGATGTGCACCTTCGTGTCGAAGTCGAAGGTGCCCTGGGCGGATTTGTATATCGCCGTCCCCAGGCCGACCAGCACCGGCACCCAGATCATCATGTAGTCCAGCCACGTGAATCGGACCTCCGACTCGGGAAGGATCATGTCGATGTCCGACTGAGCCACGTCCTTGAACATTTTCAGGTACCACATCCCTTTCTCCGTTGTGGCGCCGCCCACAAAGGGCACGTCCGAACTCCGCGGGGAGCCGTCCTTGTCAGGCTCAACCTGGGTGATGGCGCCCTTGGGCGAGAGCCAGCTGAGGCACAGCGCCGCCGCCTTGTCGGCTTCGCGCTCCACGGCGGTGAACAGCATGACGACACGCTGGTACACCCGGATGGTCTTCTCCGTCATCAGGAAGAGGGACTTCCAGGACCGGAATTGAATCTGAGGAACCCAAAACGGGGCAGTATTATTGTCGTTCTTTTCGTCGCATATCAGCATGAGTGGGAGCTTTCACAAGTCGCTGTCGGTTCGCCTCGCCGCTGTGGCAAGGGTTGCTAACGTTCGAAAAGGGAAATGTGGGTGGGGACCCCAAATAACGACGTAAGCTGCACCTGCGGACCGAAAGCGCTCACAACGTGATGGGGGCTGGAGTGTGCGACAATAAGCGGGGACGCTGAGATGATGCACAATAATTATTCAGGTCCACGGCCTGCTGCTCAGTTTGCATAAAACGGGTTATTCGAAAAGGGGCCGCAACAACCAATTGGAAAGCCGAAAAATCGGAAATCTTCGATTGGCGCAGCAATTCTCCGACGCAGATGACCCATTTCATATCCTGGCAATTTCCCACTTCCCGGCAGTTAGTTCCTGAATGTTCAGCTGAATGGGGCAATCATTTCTACCTTCTTCCGCCTGACCCCCCTGTAGAACAGCTCGTACTCAATCTTGTCCTTGGGAGGCGGCAGGACCTCCATACCCATCGCTGACTTCTCCTCGAGAGCTGCCTTGAAATCATCCTCCTTGATCTCATCGAATCCGCCCTTGTCCAAGAGATGTCGAAACGTGTCCTTGAATCGCTCGAGGTCTACCTCCCGCCTGCTCCAACACGTTCGGCGTCAATGTGTGCCCATCGGACATGACCCCAATATCTGCAGCGATTGTCCAAGATGTCATTCCGCTTTCGCACATTTGAGTTCAAAATAAATGTTTGGGATGAGGTACAGACCTCAGTCTACCAAGGCAGGTTTTCCTTGGCAGTGAAACTGCGAGATGATACAGTTCACTGAAATCAATGCAGCACAATTTTCAGATGAGGCGGTTACAGGTGCGAAGTTGAGATTTTCTTTCAACTCAATGAGGAATGGACGGGGCTCATGCAACACACCATTGCACGTGCTTATGCCGTAAAGTGCAGTGGAATTTACACGGAGGCGGGAGCGGCACCCGTGGCCAAACAATTAGTTGACCAAATCGCCTACTTTTTAGTGGGCGTTCCAACTGGCAGAACCACGTCGACGTCCGGGTCGAGGAAAGTGTATTCCTCCCTCCAGTCGTCAAACTCTTCTGCAAGCCTGCAGAGCAGTCCGAATTGCTGCATTTGGAACCGCATTTAACCCAATGCGGAGATAGGCGCCGTGGCGAGAGCATCACGAATTCAACCATAACGAGCGTTTCGCCATAATTTCCGATTTTTGACCGTTATATTGTGTTCAATAAATTGGAAACTTCAACGACTAATGCAACCTTGTTTCCACAGTTGAAATAATTATTTTCAGTAGATCTGTGGTAGCCCAATGAGAGAAATGTGTCAAGATGTAAAGTTCCTGTACAAACCCTCCTGATGAAAAAAATGGGTGTGCGACTCATTTGACATGATTCCCATTGAGATGCCAGGTGAGGAAGGCGACGCAGTACTTTTGAAGTGCAGCGGGAAAGTACAAAACACCAAACACAATGTAGAACAGGACGCCCGCCCGCAGGGGAGCCCAACTTGCGGATATGTGAGAACATCCAAAGCTGAACCGGTAACACTGTGTTTGCACAAGCATTAAGTACATGCATACCGAATTTTGGGATGAAGAGAACATGCTGCACCGCATGTACAGCTAATTTTGATGTGCGTGAGGACGTTTAGCAGCATAGCGTGAGCAGAACGAAACTCTGCCAGACAGGGTGCATATTCAGGGACTCCCCCTTGAGGAGCCCTGTGACGCGTCATCGAAAGTGTAAAACATCTTCCTCATCTTCTCGACGAACAAACGCCATAGGGGTGACTAGAGATACAATTTAGCTGTCCAAACGCTATTTGAAGTCTTGACAAGGAACTCAGTTCAGGGCATCGAAAGGTTCTTGTCGCACGCCGGTGAGGGGACAGAGCATGATGTAAGATGAAAAAACTTGGATGTGGAGGTATGTGTTGCTTCATCGCAACCGCCGGGAATTGGTACCAAAACAAACACAAGACTCACATCTGGAAACTGCTATCCACCAAGACTGACTGCAGTGTGACTTTGGTTCCGCGTCTCACTTTATGGCAATTCTAGGCAACTAGCCTACCACAACGGTGGGGGTCTTCCCACCTCAACTTGTTCCTGAGCGACAGCCTTCTGCAGAATTCCGAGAAAAGGTTCCTTTTCTGCGGATCCCATACCACTTCTTGATACAGGTGCTCTGAAGACTCCTCCACCAGCTTCTGAGCGAGGTCGGCGAAACGTATTGGAATGTAGCTCTCCAGCTTCATTGACTTGTGGCTCTCCCCCCGCTGCTGCGTTGGAGACACAGCAGAGTCAGCTCCAACGGCGCTGTGACCAAATGCTCCTGGGATAGTACTGATGCTATTGCTTGCACAGATGTTACGTGATTTTATCGATTCATGCGCTGAAAAGCACTGCCCAGGCTCGCACCTGCATTAGAGGACCCTCCCTTCTTGTCATTTCAAATTGAACGACGATACATTGGCCAGTACATCTCATGCACACATTTCTGTGGAATGCATGCCATGGGCATTCGGCGTAAGAATAACTGGAACCATCCCATGCTATGAATTTTAATTCCATGCGAACGTTTTGAAATGCCGCACATTCGTTGCTTTTGCCTTGTTACAAAATCAACACAGAGGAGCTTGGAACTATTAGTCATCCAGGCGCAACCGCTGATATTTTTTGTGAATTGTCGGCAACCGGCCGGTATTTTAGGCAAGCAGGAGCTGCAGTAAGGCCACGAATACACAAAAAAATGGTGTTAGAACTGGGCCATTCGCCGCCTTTGGTTGGATTAATTGCGCTTCAAGATGTAAAGAATGCATGGTATGGATTCTCCAAGTATCTGGGGCGGTTGCGTAACAGAGAACTTCTACGCATGTGGCTGATATGAAAATATAGTTAACACATAAAAAATATATATGCTGATACACAGACAAGTCAAAATACAGACAAAACCGAAAAATGCACGTGTTGGTGGCTCCAGGAGCAGGTGGCTATCGTACTTCGCAGATTGAGAGCAGTGCACATCAACGGATTCTATTCGGGCATAATGACACGGAATATGATAATGGAAATTGAACACTAATACATCATTTGTAGCTCTGGTTTACTGTTAAAACAATGAAACCCAATTTGGGTTTTACTTGAAAGAATATACTTTCCTCCAGCAGTTCATGGAGCTGGTGGCTCAGTGAGTTTGTACTCTCCTCCCTTTGATATGTCAGATTTACTGATGATGATGACTGTCTAAGGTGCTATGGAGCATTTTTGCTTTCACTGAACGGCTCAAGAGTCATATCTCATCCTAGCAAAAGTCAACGAACGTCGGGTACAGCTGCTGGAGGTCCAGGAAGCGTTCAACAGAACACCTGCTGCTAGCCGCCAAAATTCTGTGAGCGCAGGTGGGCCAATGTCAGCGGTATGGGTCGCATGATACCTCAGCTTTGGGTCCCTGCGCTTACGTCTGTCATGGCGGCACGTGACACTGGGCGCTCTGCCGAACACGTCGATATTTGGTGTCACATGTCGTCGCCCGCGTCTCCACGATGGGTGGCCGTTGCCTTGGACCTGCTGTCCCTTGAGGGACGCGCGCTATACGGTGGCTGCCGATTTGTGGTTCCCGCCACAGTCGCCAGGACAGATACAGGCTGCCATGCCTGTGCCGAGCTGGAGCGTCTCTCAGAAGCTTGGCAAACAAGCCTGATTGAAAGGGCCTGCCTGCTGGGAAGATATCAGCGGCAATATATGACTGATGAAACGGACATACCGGTCTGTTGCCACTTCCTGGCCAACGTGTTAGATCAAGCATCGATTTGGATAGCTGGTCCGGGACTGGCGCTGATCACTCATCTCCTTGCCCCACCTTGTTGTGTTAAATTTCATGATGATAATAACTCATCTCCGGATGGAGATTCAGCACAATGTCGGCGACCACGATCGGAAACTCAGGAATCAACGTGTTGCGGTTATCGAAACATGGGCATCAAAGGTGTCTCCAGCCCACCGCTCAAATGCCGACAGTTGCGCATTCCTGGCTGCAGCACACTCCACCAGCAGACATTTCCAATCACAGAAGCTTACAACAGCAATGTCCGCAAAACCTGCCCGCCCGCCCCCCGCCACTCCACGTGCATTGCCCGCATCGCAGTTTGGGCCAATGCGACCAATTCACCCAACTACAAATGAGCGGCGGCCCACCGCTCGCAACCAATGAGCTGCTGGCTTCGTCAGCATGCTTTCACATGACGCATGTTTCCGCCAGCCTGACAACTCCACGCAAGCGCCCCTCCTTGGCTCTGCATCCTCTTGCTGCAGTCGGAGATCTCCAAAATCGTCATTCAGGCGGGCCCAGGCGCTTTGCCACAAGGCCGTCGAGGCGCAGCACAACTCATTCCCCTCTTCGCCAACCGCCTCGCGCTGAGCGATCCCCATCCTGCGACTGGGGGAGACTTGGGCCCTTGTGCCAACAAGCAGCCCTCCATCCCTCGCGGGGCCTCAGCCAAAACGCGCCTCAGCCCTCAGCCCTCGACCTTGGTGACGATCCCAACCGCAATGGTCCTGCCCCCTTGACGCACAGCCACCCGCCCCAGCGCCCTGCAGGTCGCGTACTGCTCCAGGCACATGCCCCGCTTTGCGGTCACCACCACCGTGGCCGTCTCCCCCTTGGCCAGCCGTCTGGGATTGGTCTTGGCGACGCCTCCCGCCTTGGGGTCCAGGGTCGTCAGCAGGCGGGCGATGTGGCCCTCCTCTCGGGCGGTGTGCGCGTGCAGCTCGACCGCCGTGCCAGGGATGATGGGGATGGGGGGTTCCAGGACCACCACGCACAGCTCGAACTTTGAAGACACCCCAGTGGGCCAGTCCACTGGGCAGAGGACTGAGCCGGGGAATAGGGAGGATTCCTCGATGCCGGACAGGCCCACATCGCAGCTGTCGCCCGCGCGCGCCAGGGGGCATTTCTGGAGACAAAACGCTATGGAATTCATGGCACTGTGCGACTGCATACTACATGTGAGTGCTGGAACAGGTTGTGAATGACTGGTGGGTGCATGGGCAACGGTGAACTGGCGGCAAGCACTGACACTTGGATACCGTGGACTCCTTTTTGCTGGTATCTGTGGATGTTTTACATCAATCCATGCAAGAAGGATTGAAATGTGCCTCAGCTGAAGATAATTTGCAGTGTGGCAATGTGAACATGTCGAGCATCCATTTCTTCAATCATGGCTCTTTTGGCACTATTGGCAACCAGAAAGCCCTGAAGAGATTGCTGACCTGGCCATCCACCTCCAGCGACTTGATGGTAGCAACCTCTCCAGCGGGCATCACAAGCACCTTTCCCCCTACTGCCATGGCGCCACACTCCACCTTGCCACCCACTGCTGTGGACCCCAGGGTCCTGCTCTTAAAGACGTCTGCGATCGGCACCCGCAGGGGAGCATCTGCAACAAGGGAAGATACATCATTTACAGTTCAAACAATATGGTTGGAGCCAGACGAGAGAGCATCCCTGCATTATATTCATTGCCCACCACTGGCCTGGTGGTGGAAAGCCACATATTGTCACATGAAGCCAGACAGAGTTCCCTCAAAAGCACAATGTATTGGGAATTGGCAATCGTTTCCTTTCAGACACACTTGCCAATCCACGTATCCAGAGAGTTTCACAATCCCTATGCAAAACACAATCTGACAGCAAGACTGCCATCAGCAGCAGCACCGTAGGTGTGTCATCTTAACAACTCTCAAGCATTCAACTTCAAATCTTTGAAAGAGTGAAACACTGACGCACCCACAATTCTTCTGATTGGCATGAAGTTGTCTATTGACTCCACAACGGAAGGGCCTTGAAACCATGCCAAGAGTGTATTGTCCTTGGAAGGCCTTTCTGTCATGTTGATGCCCAATGGAGCTGCGGCCAGCAGCCATTGAATGTTGCGCTCCTTGAACCCACATTGCTTCAGGAATGGAATGAGCTGTGCCTTTACGCTTTCAAATCGATCCTGGGGAAGCAGACTATCACAACATTAGTACCAAACAAACTGCTAATAAAACACAAGAAACCCAGTCAGTAGCAAATCTTGATCAAAGATCTCAAGAAGAGAAGACTACGCACACTAGACCAGAACACAAAATAGTCTCCAGTCAGAAGAATTCCTGGTGAACAACAGTTGTGCAACAAAACAAAAGAACGAATGTATCCTCACTGGCAACATGAATGTATGGCACATTGGTCATGTCATGTGTCTCTACCGGACTCAAATCGTCAGACAGCATTAGGTTCCTTGTGGCCTACACAAGCTTCGAACTTCTTTGCTAAAAAGCATACCACATCAGAGCTCACAAGTTCGACAGTTCAGAAGGCACACCTGTGAAAAGTCACAGGAGTCCAGCTTGCTGATCACCACAGCCACCTGCTCGATGCCAAGGCTGCGGGCCAGCTGGGCATGCTCCCTGGTCTGACCACCGCCAGTGCCTCGAAGGCCGGGGCCACTGGCCTAGCAAGCAACCAGCAAGTCAAACACAATGGCGTTTCAGCAGATGGGGTAGAGGCAGTGGTAGGAGCACCAATGCCAAGGATGCAATCAGCCATTGGCAATGCCCATGGTTGTCTGCTCTTACTGATGCATCCAGAGACTGCCACGACAGCCCTCAATATTTGAGCTGCCAGCATTGTATGCAGACTGATTGTGAGAGGCAAAATGAACAATCTGCATCCCATGCGATGTTCCCCATCACCTTGAAAATTACAGAGGAACATATCATTGGAAGTTGAAACAACTGTAATCAAAGCAGATTTTGTGGCGCATCGTCTCAACAATCCTGCACATAAGGGGACACCCATTGTGCCATGTCTCTGTTCCTTTTTGCATGCCATCTATTAATAATCGGAACATAATGCACAGCAGACAGCACAACAAGATACTTGCTGAACTTTTGATGCAGAAAGTCTGATAGATCACTGTGAAACTCCAAGGCAAACCTCAATCTGGGATGTCCAATTGTACCTGGAAAGAAGGACATTGTCAGGGTTGATAGCATCAGGGTACATTTGTGCTCCTATGGATAGTGATTTACCTGAAATCCAGCTTCAAAACCTCCGATGGAGCCATCGACAAGCAGCAGGGCAGCATCTGCTTGTGAAGCACCACCAATCATGTGTGGAACAAAATCTCTGCAGACAAAACAAACAGCAAACCGTGCTCACTGACACTGCAGCGCAGCCTTCAATCCTGTTGTCATTAAAATCCTGACAAATCATGAACCTCCACACTGAATATCAAAAGGTAGTGAATCCTAGGAAGCAAGCAAATGGGTCCAGCATGAAACTGGTCATCCAGCACAGCACGACACAGACAAATTCAACATGGGTCGATTGTGTGGCAATGCAAATAGCCAAACCACATCTTTGAGCAAAAAAAATGGAGACTTACCTATGGCCAGGAGCATCCATCAGTGTCACTATGTACTTTGAGGTCTGGAAACGGGACATGGCAACGTCAACTGTCACACCCCTGGCCCTCTCTTCTGGCCTTTCATCAAGCACCCATGCCCAAGAAAAGGATGCCTGTCCACACAAACACAGTGCATTGGAGTTCCTTAGTTCCAGTGCAAGAACGCAGGCATCCTGCTTTCAACGGTACACTTTGGTGTGCCTTAATCGACAAGTACGTTCAGAGGCAAATGCCACCACTGAGGAACTGCAGCACGTACACTATGTTGCACATGTCCATCGCAATCCCCTTGTGAAAAGATCTTTAACAGAAGCGTCGACCGGGCAAATGCACTGACGACAGAGATGGGGACATGGACATTCATCAGGGTTCTCTCCTGAGCGTGTTGCTGTCTGTCGACCAATGTACATTTGTTCCTCGATGCTGTGGGGTTTGGGTTTTTTGCCAATCATTGTGAGGTCAGTGTAGACCGCCAGCAAGGGGATGCTGTCTGACTATCTGAGTTCAGCAGAGACGTTTGACTCGAAATGTGTCGAATTTTCACATTGCATATAAGTACATTCATTCATTTCTTGTGAACAGGTCCACAGTGTGGGCTCTAAACTGACAGGTTCTGTCTGACATTGAAGCTCCATCTGATTGGCATTGACAATTATCAGTAAACGCCCCTACACCAACGGCGAGTGTGCTTCCCACCAGCACAACTCGGAGGCGACATGAGTGGAACACACTTACACCAAGTTTACATTGGCATCAACAGCATTACGCATGGAGCTCAACAAAGCCAGCTGATTTGTTGAATCATCTGACACCCAGTGCACCAAAGAGAACAATGTACTGACACTGACCTTACCAATCTGTGCTGAGTCCTTCTCATTCTTGTGGACTTGCTTCTGTCCAACGTAGCCCAAGTCATGGAGCAGACGGCCCATCAAGGTGGACTTTCCAGCATCCACATGTCCCAACACAACTAGATGCAACTTGGTTTTGGCGCCATTGCCTGAGCTCTCTTCGGCCGACGATTCCTGGACGAGTCTGCAACGCAGAAGGAGCAATCCTCAGGCCTACAACAATGGGAGGGTGCCACCACCCAAAACCCAGGCACAGTATTCTCAAAGCTGTCCATGGGCCCAACTGGTAACTTGCCATGATTCTTAATCCAATTATTCTATGTGTCCACAGAAGTGCCATCCATCAGCAATTCTCCATCAGCAGTATAAACTACTTGGGAAGCGTTGTACAGTGTGCGACTGTACACAGCGCAACACCACTCCATAGCAACTTGCAGCACACCTGCACAGCAGAACTAAGCAGAACTTTGTTGGATCACACAAGGATCCACTCAAGCTGCCAGTGCTTGAAGAACACATTGAACCACCCCTCAGATTTACAGCATGACAGGTTGGGGAGGACGCATTCACCTGGCCGTGTTGGGGTCCAAGACATATTCACTCCATGCTCTGGTGTGCTGCTTCTGGGAGTCGCCTCCTCGACTGTGTTGTGACCCCTCTTGCAGTTTGGTATCTGAAATACTCAATTCGCCCATGCCCTGTGTTACGTCATCTGCACCCGATGAGGATGGTTCCTCCACAACTGGAGCTGCAGCTGGTGCTGTTAGTGCGGCACTGGCAGGCCGATCGCGTGTCCCTGGCCACAGCAGTGCAATGTCCTTCCCGTCAGGTGGGAACTTCTTGCTGTCAGGTGGTGATGTGCTGATGTGGAGGCAGATGGTGTTCTGGGCTGCACCTTCTGGTCTCTGGCTTTTGAGGGAGAGGCATACTGTGACCCTTGCTGCTGAGGTGTAATGCTGGCTTAATCTTGCATGGTCGCTGCACAGCAGCTCGGTTGTGGGATGCGAAAGATCCACCGGTCCAATATGCCACATGAATATAGAGATTGTACACATGAGGCAGCACTGCATCGGATGCTGCCAATACACTTTGGCCACTATCAGGAAAAAGTTCAGGAACAACAATTAAGGTGAAAGTGTGCCTCATGGTACACACCCAATGCCACAACAGATGGAAATTCATACTCTCACACAAGACTTGCAAGGCGTCCCTTGCAGCACTCCATTCAGTGAGCCAAGCATGTTCATCAGCACTGCATACTTGCCATAGCAAACAAAACTTAAGACACACAGGAGTTCATGGCATTGTGAGGCACCTTTTTTATCCCCCTTGGGTGTCCCAGCACAATCGTCAGGAGAAGGACCATCGAATCGGAACACCTGAATGCCTTGCAAACCTTCATCATGTGCAGGCCTGAGTGTGTATCTCTCCTGGGACGCTGCTGTGGCCCTGCCAGATTTCTTGGCTGAGTAACCGCCACAACAAAGCCAAAAGTCACAATTACCTTGGTTACCCATCCTGAATGGCCGTAGCAGCATGAGCTTGCAATGCCGACGAAATGATAAAAGGGGCAAGCTTCCCATATCCCACCCAGAATAGTTGATCTGTGCGACCTTAAATGCAGGCAATAAGAACCCTATTCTGTTTCTCATCAGCGCAGGGCACCTGCTCCCGTGCCTTCCACACGCTATTGGCGCTCCCTCCCAAGACCCCGCTTGGGTGGGGACAGATGCAAGGCCACATCGCCTCGAATCCGAAAGAGTCCCACCATCCAATGAAACTGCAAGTCACCCCAGCTTCACGCTTAAGAGGCGGGGCGATGCAAAAAGCAGTGTTCTGCAGCAGGGCGCCGGCCGGGAGCCCGAGGCCTACCGCCCTTCTGATGCCGCCCGTCGGGCCGAAGAGGTGGGGGGTCACACAGGTAGCGAGCGAGGCGAGACGCACCCGCCGCTGAAGCTGGGCCGGCAGCATGGCCCTTCCCGGCAGACCCTCCCCTGCCGCCGCCGCGAGCCCCGCTGGGAGCGGCGCCCGGGGTCAGCCTCTTGGCCTGCAAGCAAGCGGCCAATCGGCAAATCAGCGCATGCATTCGGACACAAGCGGGACAAACTCACCATGCAGGTCTCATTGCGATCGCAATAAGCCGCGAAGAGTGTGACTTGCTTTACTGCCGTGCACAGCCGCGGGCTTGTCCACCGATTGTCCCCACGCGCGCAACTCAACACGAACGGCCGAGGTTGCAAGCGCCATTGCCAGCCGACATGCAATTGTCCCAGCTGGGAACCGTGAATTCAGCAACACTGAAGGCTTGCTCATGGCTCTGCGGTTGTGGATGCAGAAACGCGACGGCGCTGTGCTGATGCGAACGTGCCAGCGGCGGATTTCCACCTGCTTGCCGGCGGTCGATGGTGCCGGCTGGGGTGGCTTCGGCTTTGCGGCCACGTAGTCGTCATACTCTTCCCCATAGCCGTAGTCGTCCTCCTCCTCGTCGTAGTAGTCGTCCTCGTCGTAATAGGCTGCGCCCTTGCCGCCTGGCATCCCGCCTTCCGAACAGCAAGGGAGTCGCCCGAAGCGAACCAGCAGCGAAACTATGGAACAAGGTTGCGCTGTTACGGCTAGAACTGAT